ATAAATATTTAGTTTCTTGAATTTTCCTTTGAAATAGATTTACTGTTTCTTCATTAATGAGGTAAGTAAATCTTCGTCACATGCTCATTATATATTTGTAGGACGGTCATGTTTTAACACTTTAATGGATGTCCTTTGACAGTGGCAGTGTTGAGGATAGATTGGAAGTGATGAGCGAGACACGAGGTTGGGGTTCCTTAGAAGGCTATTTCGGGAAACCCTATAAGGCAGTGGGAGAGCCTGACCCAAGGCAGTGGCAGGGAAACAGGCGAAGAGGGTGGATGGGGGGATGTGGAGGCAGAACCACCTGTGGTGGTAAATGAAGAGAAATATGCAGAGTTTAGGAGCATCTAAAGCTTCTGGCTCATAAAACTACCCCTTGCAGGCCCAAGGTTAGTGTTTACCCTTAGCATCTGAGAACACTGATAATGCTTAGAATTTACACAGTCTAGGACTGGGGCAATGGTTGCTCTCCATAGTCTCACATGTGAAAAGCATTCAAAATTATGGTTGGAAAAGCACTCAGGCCCTTTTCTTTTTTTCCCAAAAAAAAAAAAAAAAAAAGAAATTGGGGGTGGGGCACAGAGAATAAAACACAGCAACAAGAGAAAAACACCGTAGGATGAACTTCTCTTAATTATACATATACAGATTGTCAGCGCACCAAGTGACTTAATCCTAGTTCACCTCCTCTCTGGGCTTCTTAATGGCTGCTGGCCACTTCCTCCTTGGACCCAGATGGAGTGAGCTCAGCAAATGCAAGCTCCTTTAATTCTTGAAACAGCAGAGCATATTAGGAAAGGAAATCCACAAGTGAAAACATCACATTATGAATTCCAATGCCGAGGAAGAGGATTATAAACCAGACTGAATTCGTTGGGGACAAAGAATCATCTTTTTTTGGTGCAGGACCCAAGTGACTGGTTTGGCCATTATTCACCTTTCAGGATTACCCAGGATTCGGCCTCTTCCATTCTTGTATTTGTTTCCAGAGCTTCCATCCAGCACCACCTTCAGCTCTAGCCAGTGGGCTGTAATGCTCTTGCTTTGTGCTCTTCTGACTGTAGGGGACCTGCTAGGATGAAGGCCCAGCTAAGGGGTCAGTGTTGTGTTTTTTTTTTTTTCCTTTTTATTGTAGAATTTTAGATTTACAGAAAAAGTACACAGAGTTCTTATATACTCTTCACCCAACTTCCTCTGATGTTAGTCTCTATCATAATCATGGTACATTTGTCAAAACTAAGAAGTTAACATTGGACAATCCTATTCACTAAACTACAGACCAGTTTTTCTGTTTATGCCCGTTTTTTTAGTTCTAGGACCCAATGGAGGATACCACAGTGCATTTAGAGGGGTCATTGTTTTTAATTATACCTACCTCCCTGGGGTTTTGCGTGGATTGGATGATAAATTGTATGTAAAAGGACTCTGTAAACCGTGAATAACTATGTAAACGTTACCAGCAGGTCTTTTTCATTGTTGTTCTGGTTAATGATGAAACATACTGACACTTCCCTCATTGCACTGTAGGGTGTGACTAAATTCCAATTTCATTATTAAAATGACTTTAAAACAATATGCTGTGAACTTTCACCTTTAATCCTCACAACAATTATGCTTATTTTATGAGACTCAGAGAACTTAACTAACTTGCTCAAGAATATACTTTTAGACTTTTTTAGGCCCTCCCAAGATTGAGTTGGTTGCCTTTTTTTTTTTTTTTTTTTGGTGAGGAAGATTGTCGGAGCTAACATCTGCGCCAATCATCCTCTATTTTGTATGTGGGATGCCACCACAGAATGGCTTGATGAGTGGTGTGTAGGTCTGCACTCGGGTCCAAACCCACGAACCCCAGGCTGGCAAAGTGCAGCAAGTGAACTTAACCACTATGCCACCAGGCTGACCCCATAGCTGCCTTTTTATGTGCTCCCCCTCACAGCACTTACTATAGTCCTCGCACTAGACTAGAAGCTGTGGGTGCCAGGAACTGGATTTTGTTCCCTGTTATATCCCCTCCATCCATCAAACAGAATCAGGCACATAGAAGATGATCCAAAGAATACTGTCTAGATGAATGAATTAATGAAGCCTGATCTTATAGCCATTGCTCTATTCTAAAAACTGCTGTTTTCTTTATAACTTACTGTTGACTGTCTTTCCCTACTGGAAAGTAAGAATAGTGGAACACAGACAGTTGTATTTTGCTCCTTAATGAATCTTCAGTGCTTAGAACTGGCATAGTGTGTCAGTAATACCTGTTGAATGAATGTGGGAAAGGTAGACTTCCTCCTTTGGCCAACATCACCCTGTCTTTTTGTGACATCACTGTATTTTGTTCTGATGCTGATCTCACTAAAATAACGTTCCAGAACAACCGTAACACTGTGACGTGGGTAAATACTGAATGCTTTGACTTCCTGAGTTAAACATTCACTTGCAGCTGAATGATGATCAGAAGGGGAACCACAGGAACGCTGTCCCCAAGAGCACTGTGTCCAGGAAGGAGGTGCTGGCAGCCCATGGACTCTCTACATGCCACCGCTTTTGTCCTGTACTAGCAAAATCATGACTTGAGGCCATTTGTGCTCCGTGCTCTTGACTTCCATGTCACACTCACCTCCCTTTCACCAGAATGCAACTCTTGAAGAAGCAAAAATTAATAAATAAATATCTGCTTATAATAATCATTAGCTTTATTTTCTTAGGAGATAAGTTCCTCTTATCAGAACTCTTCTGTTTCAAATCTACTCATTTTTCCTCTGTTATTAGTGGAAAGGTAACAATCACATTCATGTTAAAGAAAGCTGGAATATAGGAAAAAAAGTCACTATCCCAATAAGAGTATGGTTGGAATTTCCTGTGTACTTCCTTCCCTTTTTTTCCCCTGAGAGTATATTATATATACTTTTGACCATATGGTCAACATCATTAGTCATTAGGGAAATGTAAATTAAAACCACATAATACATACCTATTAGATTGGTAAAGTTAGAAAGACTGGCAATGCCAAGTGCTGACAAGGATGCAGAACAGCTAGAATTCTCATACACTGCTAGTCGGATTACAAAATGGTATAGCCACTTGGAAAATAGTTCGATAGTTTCTTACAAAGTTAAACATGCACTTGCCATATGACCCAGCAATCCCAATCCTAGGCATTTACCCAAGAGAAATGAAAGCATATGCCGACACGGACCTCTGTGTGAATGTTTACAGCAGCTGTATTTATAATAGCCAAAAAGTGAAAAAAACCCAAATGTCCATCAATTGGTGGATGGATATACAAATTATGGTACATCCACACAAAGAAATACTACTCAGCAATAAAAAGCAATGGACAACTTATAAACACAACAGGGATGAGTCATAAAACATTAAGCTATGTGAAAAAAGCCCAAAGCCCGACACAGAAGGCTACTCCAAACTGTTTTTACTTACAACACTTCTGAAAGCAAAGTTTTTCTACACCAACAAGCACTTCTCCAACTCTCCAGACACCAACGTGGTGTCCTACAGTTCAATTCAATTCTGACACTAAGTACCCAGAGTTAGTGTCAGATTCCACAGACTTAAAGGCTCAGTCCCACAAGACTGCCCTCACTTCAGATTCCAGTCGCAAGTCCCAGGTTTCCACTTGTACTTCTGACCAACCAGCTATAAACTGGGAGATCCCACGACTCCTTCCTCAGGTTTGATAATTTGTTAGAATGGATCACAGAACTCAGGGAAACACTTTGCTTACGTTTACTAATTTATTATAAAGGATACATGGGGCCGGCTCCGTGGCTTAGTGGTTAAGTGCGCGCGCTCTGATGCTGGTGGCCTGGGTTCGGATCCCGGGCACGCCCCAAGGCACCACTTCTCCGTTCAACCCGAGGCCGAGTCCCACGTACTGCAACTAGAAGGATGTGAACCTATGACATACAACTATCTACTGGGGCTTTGGGGGGGGGAAAAATGAATAAATAAAATCTTTATAAAGGATACAACTCAGGAACAGCCAAATGGAAGACATGCATAGGATGCATAGGGCAAGATATGGTGGGGAGGAGTGGCATGGAGCTTCCATGCCCTCTCTGAGTACACTACCCTCTCAGCACCTCAATGTATTCACCAACCAGGAAGCTCTTGGAACTCTGTAGTTAGGGTTTTTACGGAGGTTTCATTACATAGGCATGATTGATTAAATCATTGTCTGTTAGTGATTGAACTCAACTTCCAGCCCCTCACCTCTCCCCAGAGGTCATGGGGTACGGCTGAAAGTCTCCTCACGCCTTCATCTTCCTGGAGACCAGGCCCTGTCCTGAAGCTGTCTCGGGGATCCCAGCCACCAGTCATCTAATTAGCATGCAAAGGACACTTAGCACTCCAGAGAATCCAAGGATTTCAGAAGCTGTGTACCAGGAACTAAGAGACAAAGACCAACTATATTTCCTTTTCTTTTTTTTTTTTTGCTGAGGAAGATTCGCCCTGAGGTAACATCCGTGCCAATATTCCTCTATTTTGTATGTGGGTTGCTGCCACAGCATGGCCGCCGATGAGTGGCATAGGTCTGCCCCTGGGAACCAAACCCGGGTCGTCGAAGTGGAGTGCGCCGAACTTAACCAGTAGGCCATGGGGCTGGCCCCTATATTTCTTATTATGCCAGCTACATACTATGTGATTCCATTTATTCCATTCTGGAAAAGGTAAAACTATAGGGGACAGAAATCAGATCAGTGGCTGCCAGAGGCTGGAGGTAAGGGAAGGGAATTAACTGCAAAGGGGCAGGAGGGAATTATTTTGGCTATTCGAAATGTTCTATATTGGGGTGGTAGTTATTTGACTAAATACTTTGTCAAAATTCATCAAACTTTACTCTTATAAAAGGGATTTGTACTGTATGTAAAGTATACCTTAATAAATATGACTTCAAATAGAAGCTATTTCCTTCTGTCATCTTTTGCAAATCCCCTGTCCCCAAAGGATGTGACATATTTATTGCGACTGCTATAAAAGAATGAAATAAAATTTCTATCAGCAAACACCTGGTATGACTTCCACACAAATATCCACTGTCTGTGGTAAGCACCACTAGTAGAACATGGTTCAGTAGAATTTTTCAGGTGTCTTTGGTCCAAATCTCCTCTGTTTATCTATGGTTTCAGACTGGACTCTCCTCCTCTTTGGGGCTTCCTTCTGTGCCTTTCTGCTCTGGAGATTCTGCTGCATTGGTAACTTCTTTTGGTTTCTCAACATCTATACTGGTCTCCTCCTCTTTACTTTCCTTTTTCTGCTTCTTCTCTGCTTTCTGTTCTTTTGCCAGAAGTCGATAATTGATGCCCATGCCAATGAAGAGATAGATGCCTGCGATGATTAGGATTACGCCACATGCCCAGTATGTGTATTTGTAGTCTCCATATATGTCGTTGAGACGACCTAAAGAGTTCCAAAAAAAAAGTTATGTGGGTATAAGTAAACAAGTATATCCTTTCCCAAATAAAGCTTAAGGATCCACTCAGAAAGAAAACGTCAACCCAATCCTCAAAGAGCCCACAAATGACAAACTACAAATAGTCTAAAAAGGAATTTCTAAAAATGATCTGATCTTTTGTTTATGATGTCACAGTGATTTTGGATGGCCTTGCATATTCTGTTATTTTTAGCAACTTGAAAGTAATTGAATTTTGGCAAATTTGAATTGTGAAAGACCTAGAGCTCACCCAGAATCGATTCTCTCAATACACAATGGAAAAATTTGTTGCTCAAAAGAGGTTTAGGAGTCTTGCCTAAGGCAACAGAGCTATCCAGGTTCCCAGACCAATACTCCTTCTCTCACATCAGCATTTCCCAAAGAATGTTCCTGTGAACACTCGTGCTATGCTAAAAAATTAACTAACATCAACCACCATTCTAAGCACTTGATCCTCAAAACAGGAGATTCTATCTATTATCATCCTAACTGTACAGATGAAAAAAGCTGAAGCAGAGATACATTAAAGCTAGTAAGTGAAATAGGTTAGCTTTAAACCCAGAAAGTCTGACTCTGAAGCTTGTACCCATCCATAACCATTGTGCTACAAGGATTCCTCCCTAATGTTTCCAAAGTCAAATAAATTTAGGAAATGGTGTATCTTATTCTTTTCTATAAAAGATTCACAATGCATATTAGCATATTAAAGGCTTTGTGAGGTCCTATAGTAAAGAAACCTATTTAACTTAATGTTTCCAACATTTTTTTGGCCATGAAATCCTTGCTATAGTAAAATTTATTAGCATCTCTTAAAATTGGTATCTCAAGGAATAAAGTCTGGAAGACCCTACCCCACATCTATGAAGGACTTAATATAACCAATTCAAATACGATTCCATATGGTTTTCTAACTCAGGGCATGGTTCACTCAGCTATATTTATTGAGCCCTACAAACACCATCACTGGCTCTGCTAGGCCCCTGAGGATAAGGGTGAGCAAAGGAGATAACATTCACAGTTCAGTGGAGAAGAAAAATGTTAATCAAATTCTTACACAAACTGTGACAAAGGCTACAAGGAGGGTTTGAAAACAGAAAATAGGGGGTTGGGACCAGTACGCAGGGTCAGGAAGGCTTCTCTTAAAGTGTAAACTAGGCTGAGACTTACAGGAGGATAGGAGTCATCTAGGAGAAAGGGGATGGGAAAAGAATCCAGGCAGAGAAGGGCAAGTGCAAAGGCAGGTGGTAGGAGGAAGCACAGGGTGTGAGGGGTGTGGAGCAGAGAGAGCAAAAGGGGAGTGGTAGGAAATGAGGCAGGAGAGAGAGGTGGGCCAGGCCCTGCAGGGCCTTGTAGGCCACATTAGGGAATTTGATCTTCACCCTGTGAACAATGGAAGCAACTGGAGAGTTCTAAGAACATTCTAAGAGTTCTGAACTGGAGAGCCCTTAGAGACTGAAGAACAGCTAGAGCGGATATGGGTAAACCAGTTAGAAGGCTACTGTTAGGAGCAGCCCAGGTAGGAGACAGGAGCTGTGGAGAAGGGGGGCGGTGTGATGGAGAGAATGGGCAGATTAGGAAGAGATTTAGGAGGTGAAAACTGACAGGACTTGGAATCTCATCGGGTATAGGGAGGAGAGAGGGTGGGGAAGTTGGGAAAAGTCAGTAGTGGATCTTCTTTTATGTATCCTTCCTTCCCTTATAATGCATAATCTCAAAAGCAGGAGTCATATCCAGGCAAAGTCCAAATTATTATTGTAATTTGTATTAATAATAATTTTAAAATGTAAACAATTTGGTATTCTTCGAGAATAATTCATCGAGTGTTATGGTCACTTACTAGCTGTGTGATCTTGGGCAAGTTATTTCACTTTTAGAAGCCTCTATTTCTTCATTTATAAAGTGGAGACAATAACAGTCTTACCTCACAGAGACGTGTGAGATATGACAGGATACGTAAAATGATTAGGACAGTCCCTGGTACACCCGAGCCCTCACCTGGTAGCTATTGTTATTACTTTAAATATTACTACTGATATAAATTCCATAATTAAAATGAAATCACCAACAGTATTTCAAAGGTGGAGTGTGTATTATACATTTTTCTATAATAAACATGTTAGTTTTATGATCAGAAAAAGTTATTTTAATAAATAGTTAAGTTTATAACAGTTTTTGAATTATGCTGTGCCAAGCATTGCACCAGCACCGAGGGTACAGAAATGAGAAAGACTTGCTCTCCGCCATCAAGCAGCTCACTGATCTCTGCTTTCTATCACCTTCCCAATCTTCTATGCGTGTTTTACGTTAACAGATCCTCAGAAGTAGGAAGACATACTATACCTAAAAGTGGTGGCCCCAGGAGGACAGGACAGCATTCCACAATGGTCACCAATCCCACAGCGCTGGAGAACCTCTGGGGCCCAACAAGGTCCATCAATGTTTCAAACAATACGGAGCTGAACCACCCAAATGCAAATCCAAGGAATCCCGCATAGATACAGAACCCAATATAGCTGGAGGATAAAGGTGCTAGCAGATGACACACTCCATTTGCAACGATAGAAGCAGCAAAGAAATACTGAACTCGAGGTCTTATCCACCTTGTGTTGGCTACAAATCCCATAAAAGGTCTGGCTACCATGTCAACAAAAGCCAGAATGGAAAGAAGGAAGGCAGCCTTCTCACTAGAGCAATGCTGACTCTTGGCATAATTACTAAGAAAGACTAAAGGTGTAGCCAGCCCAAAAGCCATTACCACGTTCCCAGATAGGTACAGTACAAAGCCTCTGTGGGTGAACAGGGATAAGTCCAGAAATTTGTTAGCTGTTTGAAAGACTGATTGTTTCTCCTCTTTGGGGTTTCTGCCATTAAATTCTGTATTTGCATCACTTGCTCCTTTTTTTGCATCAGATTTTCCAGCTTCCTGAAGGGATTCTTTAGACCTGTCTTTCTCTGCGTTGGTTGGCTTGGGCCCTATTGGTCGCATCAGGGCTCCAGCCACACAGCAGTTTAATAGAATGCCCCCAAGAATTAGGAAGCTTCCTCTCCATCCAAAGATATCAAAGAGAGCCTGATTGAGGGGGGCCAGGGTAGAGAGGAGCACAGGGCTGCCTGCCATGGCCAGTCCATTTGCCAACGGTCGCCTCTTGTAGAAATATTTGCCAATCATGGTCAGAGCCGGATTCAAGTTGAAGGCAAGCCCAAGACCTGGGGAAGAGAGGAAAAACTAATCATATACTGTAATAAATGTCAGAAACATATTTGTTATTAATTAACTAGACAAACTGAATGGAAAGAGGTCAGAAGCATCATTATGAGAGAGGCTATTATAACTAGTAGATCATTAAATGGATTCTTATTAAATAAATGCTCACAGACATAAAGTCTCTTTATGCAACAAATACTAGATTTATAATATAACATTAATTTTTTACTTTTGCAACAGAAAGAATAATAAATGTAAAATCCCTTGTTTAATTTCATCATTTTAGCTTTCCTGAGGTATAGGGAATTAAAAACAAAAAGGAGAGAGGATAACTATTATAAATTCAGAAGGCAAGATGGAGGTAGATAGGCAGAGAGAGGAAAAGGGAGAGAGAGGGAGGGGGAAGGAGAGAAAGAAAATATTTTTGGCCAGTAAAACACAAAACTGTCAAGATGCTAACACTACCTCAGTGAATCCATTAATTTAATGCAATTTCTATGAAAATGTCAATGTATTTTATTTTTCAAATGAGGTAAAATGACTCTAAAATACACCCAGAGAACAAGTGCATTAGAAATATTTGAAAAGGATAAATAATTGGTGGGACCACCTCTAACAGATATATAAATATGTTGTACAGCTACAGTAATTAGAACAGTGTGGCACTTATTAAAAAATAGAAAAACTGATCAATGAAAGTGCGCATAAAGTCCTGAAATAGAACCAAAAGATACATTTAAATTAATAGAGAAAGAATGGATTTTTCAATCAATGGGGCTGGAACAAGTGATTATCCCAACAACGTCCTCAATAGTCTCCCATTCTTACCTACAAGGTAAACCAGCTTAGATGCCCTCCCAATTCTCTCTCTCTAATGACTGCCCTTCCATAACTTTGCACTCTGGGTTAGGAAGCACCATGATTTGGTCCTTACCTACCTCCCTGGCCTCATCTCAGTCTAGTCTCACATGTGCTAAGCGTAACTGTTCCCCTAGATTTTCACGAAGCTGGCTTCTAGTTATCATTCAGATCTCAACTTGAAGTCACCACTGCTGAGAGGCCTTCCCTTTAGGAACCATTCAATCCTTCTCTATCAAAACTCTCTGTTTTAAGTCTTTGCAAAGCCCTTATTATTACCTCATATTTTTTATTTATTCATTTATTTTTTATTTATTCATTTATTTGTTGGTCTGTTTATTGTCTGCTTCTCTCCACTAAAGAGCTGGAATCTTGCCTATCATGTTGACACCATCCCCACAGAGCTTGGAACAGTGCCTGGCATATAGTGAGGACTCAATAAATACTAGTTGAATGAATTAATAAATGAAATAATGAACAGGCTGAATAACCATGTGGGAACAAATCAAGATCTATTCCTTCCTTAAGTTATTCATTTCATGACATGAATATGATATTCATTTGAATATGTTATTCAAATATTCTAGATGGAATAAAATATTTAAATGTTTAAAATTTTAACTAATGTAGTGAAAGTACAGATCTAAAAAGAAAATATCCATTATTGGCAATATTTCAGATTCTGCACTGTAAATTATTATAAACTTTCTAACAGAGTATTTGGCCAATTGTATCAAAAACATCTTCCCCCAATAATTATACTTCTACAAATTTATCCTAAGGAAATTATCATTTTCACAAAGATGTATAAATAAGCACTATCATACAAATACTGTTTATTAATAGTGAAAAATATAAACCTAAATGTCCTTCAATTAGAGAAAGGTGAAATAAACTATGGTATATCCATTCAATGGAAAAATAATAGCTGCTAAAGCATATTTACTGAGATGGGAAACTATGTACCTGACGTATTATTAAGTGAAAAAACTGGTTACAAACATTACACAAAATCTCATTCCTTTTTGTTCTAAAAAATTATATGTATGTGCATAGAAAAATGTATGAGTGGATATAGCATCAAAATATTAAAATGGTGGCTTTCTCTGAATTGTAGAGCTATGGGTGATCTATATTCTTTATACTCAGCAGTTTCATTTTCTTAATCTAGCTATTAGACAGGGGAAGTTTTCTCATGTGTGCCCTTTATCCCTTGAAAATGTATCTGGCTTCTCCGATAGAAAATTCCTGCTTTGTATCTGACATTCTCTCTTACTCTAATTTGAGCCAATTTCTTCTTGGGTGGAAGGGCTAGTGAGTGGGAATAGCTGATGACCACCCTTTCACTATCACCACTATCTTTCTTAAGACAAAAAAAAAAAGAAACTCTTTCAATTCATTCATTCAATAAAAAATAATCACCCATTAAATGCCAGAACTTGCTTTAAAGACTTGCTTTTCTGGTACTATTAAATTAACATATCTACAGCTCGTAAAAATCATGACCTAGTAATTTTTCTAACAAAGAACTTTCATTTCTCAAAACAATTGGCAGATGAATTCTACAAATGGTCCCCCTAAAAATTTTTTTTTTTTAAAGATTTTATTTATTTATTTTTTGCCCCCCAAAGCCCCAGTAGATAGTTGTATGTCACAGCTGCACATCCTTCCAGTTGCTGCATGTGGGACACGGCCTCAGCATGGCCGGAGAAGCGGTGCATCGGTGCGCGCCTGGGATCCGAACCCGGGCCGCCAGCAGCGGAGCGCGCGCACTCAACCGCCAAGCCACGGGGCCGGCCCCCCCTAAAAATTAATACTCGAAAATACATCAGTAGCAACTCACCTCCAATGAGTCCAATACACAAGTAAAGTTCCTGCACAGTGTTACAGAAAGAAGCTGCAATCAAGCCACAGCCTGACAAGCAGCCGCCAACAATCATGACTGGACGACTGCCATATTTATTCACCAGGATACTGCTGATAGGACCTAGGACGTAACAAACAACTTAGTAATACAGAGAAGCCCATCCCTCACATCCACACCGCACAAGACCCTACTGACATGAAAGGATGACGAGACATAAATACCCCACCCCACAAAATAAACAGATAAAACAGAAGACAGTGGTAAGGAAGATTGCTTCCTATCTTTATTTCAGAGTCACAGGTTTGTGTAACGTAAAAAATATAGCACTGATTGTACATCTTCTATATACCTAGAACATACTGGATGAATTTTAACTAAAACATGAGAAACCTTAATCTATCTCTCTTAAGGCGAAGAGGCTGCAAATACTTTGAGTACAAGTGTTGATAGGATTCTTCACGTATCTAGGATATTATCAACACATATATAGCAAGTTTGCTCTGGTTTTAACTTTTTAGATGGTCATCTGGAGCAAACACACATGAATATGATGAGATGTATGAGCAAGTCTGATCAAACTTCTGACTTTAGAGCATGTTTACACACTAGCTAAAATGTATTTTGTTTCTCATAGAAAACAACAACAAAACCAAAACAGAACTACAAAACAAGAATGCCTACCATCACCACTTTTCTTCAACATTATACTGGAGGTCCGAGCCAGCGCAGTAAGACAGGGGAAAAAAAAGGTGTAAGGAAAGGAAGAAACCAAACTATCAGTATTTGCAGAAGATATGTCTATCTAAAAATTTTGAAAAAAATCTACCAATAAACTATTGGAAATAATAAGAGTTTAGCAAGGTTACAGGATATATGATTAAAATACAAACATCAATTGTTTCTCTGTACACCAGCAACCAACACAAAATCATTTTTAAAGAAAGTTATTTTTTATAACAACACCTGTTTTATATTATAACTCACCTAACAGAACATACAGTTGCTATGTAGCTTTTATTGTTAAAGGGAATGAAAAATATGACTCTAATCACATAGCTTTAAGAGCTAACATTTCAAATATCTCACTGATAAAGTCATCAAGAACAAAAAGTACTTAATACAGAGCTTTTGTCTGCCTATTGAAAGTTAAAAGAGCAGGCCTTCATAGGCACTTACCTCCACCATACATGACAGCAAACATGATGGAAGATATCCACGACACTTCGCTGGCGCTGGCATTAAATATTCCTTCAATTTCTTTGTAAAATACAGAAATAGATTTTCCAAATGCACAAGAGAAGCCAATGGAAAAAAAAGCTCCAACAACCACTGCCCACCCCCAGCCTCCATCTGGGGGTGTGTAACCAATTGGATTTCCATCTGACGGTGACATTGTAAGTAAGGATGAATTCCAAAATGCAGTTCAAATCCAGATATCTAAAGGATATGAAATTAAAATAGTACATAACAAGTAGGTCAACAACAAAGCACTTCCATATAATCCCTTACATGTATGTTACAAATAACTGAAATGCTTTTCAATGTTACTTGTTCTCTGTGAACACAGTGGAAAAAGTCTAAGAGTCATAGTATTGCCCAAAATTTTTATAGGCCTAAAGTTAAAAATTCACCACTACTTGAACCGTACACCAAAATCCTTTTCAATAAATGTATTGTTTCTTAAAATTTATAAGCATACCTGTCTGTTTTGTTTTTTTGCTGAGGAAGATTTGCTCTGAGCGAACATCTATTGCCAACCTCACCCTGAGCTAACATCTGTTGCCAATCTTCCTCTATTTTGTATGTGAGCTGCCATCACAGCATGGCCACAGACAGACAAGTGGTATAGGTTCATGCCCAGGAACCAAACCTGGGCTGCCAAAGCAGAGCACGCCGAACTTAACCACAAGGCCCCCAGGGTTGGCCCAAGAATACCTGTTTTAATAATAGATATCAGTAATTTTCCACTTTAACAAAGATAACCAAATAACTCATGTGACTTATCTGCATGCAAAACTCACAAACACACAGACTATAAAAGGTTCATAATATTTCCTTTATAATTTCTCTCCTTTCCCAAAATGTACTCTCCAATACTTACCCAGTTTTTATGTTGTCTATAATTTATAAGCTGACTTAAAAGTGTCAGGAAGGACATACTAATATACATAACTCACTAGACATACGGCAAAAGATCACTTCAAACATAAGATTCTCATCTAATGGACTCATTATTGTAGTAAAGTTTGTCTTTTATCCAGCTGCTTAGATTTAAAGTACTTTTTTCTATTATCTGACTAGAAAGATTCCTAAATGATGGCTGATCAATAAAGTTAAAATCTGCAAAAAAACCCTAATATCAGATGCTAATAGTTTTAACTCAAAGATTTCCCCTTTTCTTCGTAAGTCACCCAACATTAGTGAAGAGCATAGTTAGAAAAGGAAATATGGGGCCAGCCTGGTGGCGCAGTGGTTAAGTTTGCATGCTCTGCTTCCGCGGCCCAGGGTTCACAGGATCAAATTCCAGGCGTGGACTGACACACCGCTCATCAAGCCATGCTTTGGCGGCATCCCACATACAAAATAGAGGAAGATGGGCACAGATGTTAGCTCAGAGCCAATCTTCCTCACCAAAAAAAAAAAAATATATATATATATATATATATATATATAACTGTGATTATGAATTACTAGTAGATGGGAGAGGTTGAAAGCAGGTTAACAGTCTACTTTAGAGAAATTAGGCTCTCCTTTGATTTCCTTAAACCAACTTCTATTTTAGTTCAAATTAACCCTGCAATATGTTACTCTGCCCATTTCTGGCCACCCTAACACTACCTGGAGTGCTGTAGTACAGTATTTTTTTTTATTTTTTAATTTGTTTCCCCCAAAGCCCCAGTAGATAGTTGTATGTCATAGCTGCACATCCTTCTAGTTGCTGTATGTGGGACTCGGCCTCAGCATGGCTGGAGAAGCAGTGCGTTCAGTGTGCACCCGGGATCCGAACCCGGGCCGCCAGCAGCAGAGCTTGCGCGCCTAACCACTAACCCACGGGGCCGGCCCTGTAGTACAGTATTAAAACTGTACAGGTTGACAATGACAACCTCATTTTTGACTATTATATTTCTTAATCTTGAATACAAATCCTACCTTCCTATCCACAGATGTCAACTTTTAAATAGCTCACCTTCTAACCAATCTAAACACTTCAAATATAATTTAGAAAGTGATCTTGTAGTGATTTAAAAAAAACAACTCTTAAGAAGAATTCTGCTTAAGAAGCTAAAAGACTTCATATGTTTTTTAAATAAAATTTTTACAGAAGTAAAGTTTCTAAAAGCTTTATCAAATTATAAAATTCCCAGGGTTTGCACAACTTTTGTTAGATTTATTCCAAGGTAGTTTTTGTTGTTCTTATAGACAATAATTTTAAAAAGTCATTTTTTTCAGCTGCTGATGTATAGAGACACAATGGATTTGTTTAAATAACAGCTTTATTCAGATATAATTCACATATCATAAAATTCACGCCTTTAAAGTGTACAACTCAGTGGTTTTTAGTATATTCACAGAATTGTACAACTATCACCACTATCTAATTTCAGAACATTTTCATCACCTCAAAAAGAAACTCTTTACCCATTAGCAGTTACCCCATTTTCCCCTCATCCCAGCCCCTAGAAACCACCTATTTACTTCCTATTTCTGTAGATTTGCTTATACTGGACATTTCTTATAAATGGAATCATACAATATGTGGCCTTTTGTGTCTGACTTCTTTTGCTTAACATATTGTTTTCAAGGTTTATCCATGTTGTAGTATGTATCGGTCTTCATTCCTTTTTATTGCTGAATAATATTCATTTTATAGAGATACTATATTTTGTTTACCCATTTTATCAACTGAGAGACATTTGGGTTCTTTCCACTTTGGGGCAATTATGAATAAAGCCACTATTAAAATTTGCATACAGGTTTTTGTGTGGACATAAGTTTTCAATTCTTTTGGGAATATACTTAGGAGTAGAAATGCTGGGTCATATGGTAATTTTGTTTAACATTTTGAGAAACTGCCAAACTGTTTTCCAAAGTGGCTGCATCATTTTACAATCCCACCAGCAATGTATGAGGGTTCCAATTTTTCTACATCCTTGCCAACAATTGTTATGTCTCTTTTTGATTTTTTAACCATCCTAATGGGTGTGAAGTGGTAAATTGTTATCTTGATTTTCATTTCCCTAATAACTAATGATTTCATGTATTTATTGGCCATTTGTATATCTTCTTTAGATATATGTCTCTGGAGAAGTGTCTTCTTTGGAGAAATGTCTATTCAAATTCTTTGCCTATTTTTCAATTGGATTTTTTTTACCATTGAATTGTAAGAGTTTTTTATATATTCTGGATACAAGTCACTTATCAAATACACGATTTGTAAATATTTTCTCCCACTCATTGGGATGTCTTTTCACTTTTCTAGTGGTGTCTTTTGAAGCACAAGCATTCTTTTTTGTGTGTGTGTGAGGAAGATCAGCCCTGAGCTAACATCCATGCCAATCCTCCTCTTTCTTTTGCTGAGGAAGACTGGCCCTGGGCTAACATCTGTGCCCATCTTCCTCCACTTTATATGGGACGCTGCCACAGCATGGCCTGACAAGCGGTGCACCGGTGTGCGCCTGGGATCCGAACCCCGACCGCCAGCAGTGGAGCACGTGCACTTAACTGCTATGCCACGGGGCCGGCCCCTGAAGCACAAACGTTCTGATGAAGTCCAATTTATGTTTTTTCTTGTCACTTCTGCTTTTTGGTATCATATCTAAGAGACCATTGCCTAATCCAAGGTCACAAAGATTTACTCCTACATTTTTCTCTAAGAGCTTTTAGTTAGTGTTAGCTCTTACATTTAGGTCTATGATCTATTTTGAGTTAATATTTGCAGAGGTAGAGGCAGGGGGTTTATTGAGGTAGGGGTCTGAATTCATTCTTTTGCATGTGGCTATCCAGTCGTCCCAGCACCTTTTGTTGAAAAGACTATTATTTCCTCATTGGATGGTATTGGCACCCTTGTTGAAAATCAGTTGACCAGAGATGTATGAGTTTATTTCTGGACTCTCAATTCTATTCCATTGACCTATATGTCTAGCCTTATGGCAGTACTACACAGTCTTGATTACTGTAGCTTTTTTCTAAGTTTTGAAATGAAGACACGTGAGTCCTCCACCTTTGTTCTTCTTTTCCAAGATTGTTTGATGATTCTGAGTTCTTGCATTTCTATAGAAATTTTAGGATCAGTTGTCAATTTCTGAAAAAAAAACAGCTGAGATTTTGAAAGGGACTGCGTTGAAGCTGTAGATCAATTTGGGGAGTAACACCATGTTAACAATATTAAGTCTTCTGATCCATGAACACAGGATGTTTTTCCATTTATTTAGGACTTCTTTCAGCAATGTTTTGTAGTTTTCAGTGTACATGGCCTTGAACCTGCTTGGTTAAACTTATTCCTGAATACTTTATTATTTTTGATGGTATTGTAAATTGAATTGTTTTCTTAATTTTACTTTTATATTTTTCATTACTAGTGTATAGAAATATAATTGATTTTTGTATATTAATCTTACATCCTGCAAACTTGCTGAACTCATGTATTAGTTCTAATAGACTTACGTGTCTATGTGTGTGGATTTTTTAGGATTTCCTATTTACAAGATCATGTCATCTGTGACAGTTTTACAACTTCCTTTACAATCTGGATGCTTTTATTTCTTCTCATTGTACAACCACCCTGGATAAAACCTTCAGTACAATGTTAAATAGACATGGTTAGAGAGGACACCCTTGGGGCCCAGTGGTATAGTGGTTAAGTTTGCGCACTCTGCTTCAGTGGTCCAGGGTTCGCAGGTTCAGATCTCAGGTGTGGACCTATGCACCAGTTATCAAGCCATGCTGTGGCAGGCGTCCCACATATAAAGTAGAGGAAGATGGGCACGGATGTTAGCCCAGCGCCAATCCCAGAGCCAATCTTCCTCAGCAAAAAGAGGAGGATTGGCAACGGATGTTAGCTCAGAGCTAATCTTCCTCACCAAAAAAAAAAAAGAGAGAGAGAGAGGACATCCTTGTTTTATTTCTCATCTTAGAGGGAAAGCTTTCACTATTTCACCATTAAGTATGACATTAGTTGTGGTTTTTTGTAGAAGCCTTTTATTAGATTTGGGAAGTTTCCTTCTATTCCTAGAAGGAATAGAAGTGTTTTTTATCATGAAAGGGTGTTGGATTGTATCAAATGCTTGTTATGTGTCTATTAAGATGATCACGTGGTTTTTGGTTTTTCTTTTATTAATGTGGTTTGGTATACTGAATGGTTTTCATATGTTAAACCACATATGAATTCCTATATTCCTGAGATAAATCCCAGTTTGTCATGGTGTATAACCCATTTT